TTCATTTATCTAGGTAACCACACAAACAGCATGATTTATTAAGCTAACAATCGATGAATGAACTGTCCTGCTAGATTGTCTATATTGACGATCAGATATTTTTACACTGTGCTTTTGCAGTGAGAGTGAAAGGGAATGCCATGTATTGAAATCACATTGTAATATAAATCAGTCAAGTGAACTATGATTGTATGGGTTATTTAAGCTCGTGGAATTGTCATGTGATTCATAGTAACTCCATACATAGTATGCACCGGACTTAGACAAATCATGATTGCTTCGCTGCCCCTCGATCATCCTTCGCATGGTCCTCGTCATAATCCTCCTCATATTTGTGAAGTGTTGATTTTGTGGGACTGCGACTAAGCTCGTTCTATTCCATTGAAGTTAAGTTATGCTTATTCTACGCGAAAAATGAACGTTCATCATCAGTTTTTGCTGTTAGAAGGATTTTATTAGGTCCTATCTAAAGACTTATCTATAGAAAATTTCAACACATCAGTCACTGGGTTGCCGTTCGAAAGACGCCAAGTGAACAATGGGCGCTCGATAGACTCAGTGGTGTTCGCGTGATCCAGGAATTCCAAATTAACGACGCTATCCACAGAGTGCACGTGTTCAGTGGCATCAAACCTATTTGCTGATTGTTTGTAAGCAAACTTGATAGAACCGTTGGAATTGCAAAGCGGTATCAGGCGGTTTAACGGGATTTTTTCAAAATTTTCAGCAGTACTGAGGTGCAGTCACTCGGTCTGCACACGTTAAATAATCCAGAAATTGATAATACAAGTTACTCAATACATGTTTTAAGTACGGTAGGCTACAGTGAATTTGGTTTTAAAATGGTGTAGTGAAGTCAATAAGGAGCAATGAACGCCTATGGTGACTTGTTCTTTTTTTCTGAACAAATCTATAATGCATACAATGAGAGAAAAAGTAGAAAATAAGCTTTCCCAGTGTTTCACAATTATGTTAATACAAAACAATAAAAATGATCACTCACAAATGACAAGGAAAGATGCCTAATTAAATATACTAGAAAGTAAAGAACACTGGACAGCTGTTTCTTCCTCGACGAGACTCATCAACAATGAACGATATTTATTCTCAGCGGTACTCGAGTTGTGAGTCACATGGGATTAAATCAAGAAAGGAAAGTATTCATTCGATTGAATCTTTATTGGTCCGCTTTTCGGAGGTGCGTTTTATTGAGAACCGGTTAGCACCTGTTTAGGTGTTTCAGAACCGGTCACATGTTAGGACTTTTACCGATGGGGCTTAAGCTCCTGCACGAAATGCTGTTGACTTCATAAGGCGTGGGGCGGTGGAGGTTATATAGACATGCTAACTGCCTCCACAGTGACTGGAGTGCTTAACCACATGTGCATTGACTTTTCCGTCCAGAGTCCATGCAGTTTTCTGAGCGGTCTGTTCACAGTGTGCAAAATCACGTCATTTGTGATCGGCCTAATTGCTCCGAGATTGTGCCACACCAAATTGTCTTCACGGATGCGGTTGGTCAGACACCTAGTCGTGCAGTCGAAACATTTCTTTCACTGAGACAAGTGAACGCATAGATACCGATCGGTGCTGAACTCGGCGAGACATTGACCGATGGCTTGACAACCAATTTTCATTGATGACCTAGAGCTTTCTTGACCATGTGTTTCTTCTCCCAGAATGGATGCTTCTATAAGTGGTATCATATTACAATTCATTTTAAAGCTCCATCAAACGTGTGGTTTGCTTAAACAGGCTCAACAAATTTAGATCAGATCAAGCCAGATTTATGTGACAGTCTCATTTCATTTACAGGTTTTCAGATGATCAATTGGAGTATGCATCTTATTGCACAAGCGCAAAATTAACTGTTCAGGGTAGAAAGTTCTTCTTAGACGAGAATATGTGGACCATCGTGATTAATCACTATCCGATTTGCAACACTTCAACGAAAATTCAGTTATTGTTTTTCACCAAATGGGAGCGTGTTGCATTTATCAATCCAAAATCTTATACTGGTAGGAAAATGCACCTCTGAATGAGGAGATCGTCATTTGGACTCTTTTTCTGGGTAAATTTGTTATGAAGTCACCTTTTCTGGGGTCTGATAACCATATCCAATGCTTGAATTGGCCACTATAGTGACATTTCGATCGAAGAACTACTGTTCCCCTCTTTTGTCTTATCTAAGAATCACCGATAATGCATGTTTACTGAAACGGTGATAGTTCGGACTCGGGTTTTTCCGATTGAGAACTCAACATGACAGAATCACGTCGTGCATCATCAATCCAAAATCAACTGTTTGTTTTAACGAATATTCTACACAAATTAGGTTCATTTTCAGGTGACATATATACAACACAAGTTCCGAGGAACTTAACCCCATCATTTACATTTTCCTCGATCTGAAAGCGACCTTGAACTCAATCGATTACTCTTAACTCAGGCGCTACCTTTCCCTGAAGGATGTGTCTGGCGCTCGTGCATCTTGATTTATTTGCAACCGTAATCTCTTCGACACAGCCTTCCCGCTTTCCTTCTATCCCTTCCTCCAAATGGGCCACAAAACCTGAAGCACGAAGGTGCATAGTTAATAGTTGTGTAAACTAAAACTGAAACTGTTCCCGGTTTTTTGAGCCTGGAAAATAGTTTAAATATAAGTACACTATTTTCTCGCGTGATTAATTGGTTCAGCATCTGTGTTTGTCACAGTTGTGATTTGTCTGGTGCGTGGTTGCGCGCGAGTTTTCCAACTGATATTAAATCCAAGTGACACATCAGTCACGTTTTTGCTGCATAAGTGCAATCGATACGTATCTGTGCTGACAGATACTGATTATAACGACGAAATGAAATGACCAACTGATTACATTCAGTTCGCTCATATTTTTCTCATCTATTGTGGTTTCCGAATGGTTCGCTTTGTGAACAACGTAAAGTCCGAATTGGAGGTCATCGGGGATTCTTTGTTCNGTTTGTGCACAAAAGACTGGGCGGGCGGGTGGGGGACAGGACTGACTATTGGTCGACTTTTCATTTTCTGTGCGCTCCATTTGTCGTTCAGGTTCAGGTGCACAGCTGATTTTTTGTTGAAAAAATGGGCTAAATAAGCTGATATTACTGTTGAAAAAATATTCAAGTTCTAGTGAGCTAACATTTGGTTCGGGTTGTTGCTCTATGATTTGAGTGGTTCTCTGCATCTAATTTATTTTGCACAAATATTTTGTAGATAACTTTTGTTTGCCCACCCCAAACCGAAGATCGAGATTAGCTTAACTAAAGCAGCCGTGTCTCTAATGGGTGGTTGATTCATTTTCTTAATACTCAATGGCTATAGTGGACTGAAATGCGTCCAGTTTCTTGAATTATTGGATTCTGAAGCAATCAGATCAGACCGGCTGTTCAACTCTTGATCTAACCCTGTTACTAGGATAATAAACATATTTTAGTTCAACTTGCTCCTTGCACAGTGAGATTCACCTTACCGTAAAAAATCCCTTGTTACGCATTTCACGAGACNATAGTCTCACGTGAACAACGCACCATTCAAATCGTAAATTGTTAGAAAGTTTCACTTTATTCGATCTGTAGAGCCCGAAGTTGTTGAGATCTATTGATTCGTAGAAGTGAAAATGCACCGAGGTGCACTTATCATATATATCGGTAACGGCTTGAAAACAAGTGTGGTCTTTGGAAGAGTAATCCTGTTCTGTTTGTTTTACCGTTTTTGTGTGTGTTTGCTTGTCTGACTTCGTCTGGCGTCCGGGATTTCAGTAGAAAGACCGTATAGTATCTGCGTCACTGACTTCTATTCTGGGCGATATCTTCGAGTGTCCCAAAGC